ACCCCAAGTTGCTGCTCTCGACGTGGAGGAGCAGAGGCTCTACTCTGAGTCCTCCCTGGATGACTGACCTCCTCCCCCTATCTCTAAGGGAGAGCCCAGACACACTACGGAGAAATCTCATTTCAGCCGCTTGTGTTCGGGATCTCGTTCTTTCGGTTATGACCATAGATAAGAGTAGGAACTGAATCGTGAATTGCAAAGCATTTCACGCCGGAAAAGCCGCAAAATGAGTCTGCTTACTGTAAATAGGAGAAATAGAAGCTCTTTGTTATCAGAGAACCGAGCCCTACTGTTGAACTGGTACTAGATTTAGCGTGGTTCATTTGTGTCTGGCACGGTTCAGTTCAGTTGCCTTCTATTTACACTCAACAGTTATCTCGTTTACCGTGCTCGGACCGTTCTCGGCACTGTTACAAAAGGGTAGTGTAAATGGGGTAAATGTGTGCTGACAGGTCCAGTTTCTGAGAGTCTGACCCTCAAGACCGACAAGATCCCTGGATAGATTTCCAGAGCTAGCTGATAGCCCAACAGCTTTGCTTTCAAGTAGACCATTATAGTTATTGCCATAAGGAATCCCCTTTTAATAGAAGGCAATGTCTTTAGTTTTTACTGTGACAATTTTTATCTTAATCCATTTGAGAATATTATAGTGTCAGCAGAGAAGCGCCTAAGTTTCAGAGGAGCACACTGGCCATGTATATTCTATCTAATTGGGTGTCAGCATAGTTTTTGGGTGGATAGCTGTCAACATTTATTTTACAGTTCAATTGGATCATCATTTTGCTTATGTATTCTGTTGTTTCTGTCTGATTCAGAGAGAAGACGAAAACCAAATCCACAGATGTGTGACATTCTCTGACCTCGGATCAGATTCTACTGAAAGGCACCTGAATGGAAAAGATGGAATAAAGCTTTTTTGATGTTTTATTCCTGATATTATCAAAACATTGACTCAATTTAATGTGAGATTGTTTAAAAAATTGCGTAAAAAGCAATATAAGTGTTTTCTTTTATGTGTGGCTGCATATTCCTCATGCGTTTCAATTTGCTTCTCAGGTTCGTAGGAAAGAGCAGTAAGGACATTGTGATGTTAACATCTCTGTTCAGAGACCAAACTGCAGAGGCCCGTTTAACAAAGCAGATTCAACAAACTCTGATACAAATCATCTGAATTGATCTGGCTGATAAGGACAAGAATGTGTAGGCTTTTTTGACATTTATTAAAAGCACTTTCCTCTCTATTGTTAAATTTGTAGATCATTAAAATAGGTTTCTTCTTGATCAAAATCACATTCCTAGTCAGAACTGTAATAACAGATTTTCTAAATTACATTTTTGCAGCAGAAACTGAATTTCAGAAGTTAAGAAAACAAATTTGTACTAGTATGAATAAAGTTTTACGCACCTAGAAATGTTTACACATCATCTTGACTCAATATGCATTCATGATATCTGAAATGCATTTCTTAATAGTCTAGATAATACCAATTCTGAACAATAAGAATAGGAATATGGATATCTGAAATTAATTTCCAGACATCCAGAATGTTTATTCTTTAACTGAAGAATGTGTTTTTTTTTCTTGAAGAATGTGTTTTTTTTTCTTGAAATGTTAAGTATGACAAGGAAAGATTTCAGATATTAGAAATGCATATTTAGACAAAATAAAATATCCAAGCGCCCTGCCATAGTGTTTTAATGATAACATTACTGGGAAGACTAGTTTACTGCCTTAATGGTAGGGGATCAATGTATTATATTTAGGTACAATCACCTGTCAGCAGGTAAAGATGAAGTATAAAAATGTTCAAACAGGTAGGACCTGTGCATCATCTCATGGGGTTCCTCCTTGTTAATTGTGCCTTCCATTACACAGTAAATACTAAGTTGCTGTCTGTCCGTGCAGTCATTTTCTATAATGCTGTTAGCACACATCAGTGTTCTCTCATCAAGATCTGTTAAATCCCTGTAAAGAAGTTTATGTTGCAAATTTGATGGATAAGGTCTAGATGTCTAGTGAGGTGAGACGTTAGCGCTCATAAAGATAGCTTTCTCAATATAAAGGACCTCTATACGCGGTCTGAGATCCAGCTCCCTATAAATATTTATTTCTCTATGAATTGATGCCATTAATTTTTTTATTGCATCCTTATCTAGAGGACTTTCTATGTGAGTTTTTAACACCTAATGTCTCTATCCGGGAATGATTTATTTTTTTTATTCGCACAAAACCACGACAGAACTTTCCCGACTAAATCACGAAATGAAACGACAAGATTGGCTCTAAGGAGAGCAAAGATAGAGGACACTGTGTTAATTGAGAAAAACCTGCTCCCTACCAGGTTGGCTCTGGTTGATTGTTACTATGGTAACAGACACAGAGGTTAAGGAAACTCTCTTTGTGAAACAGAAAACTCAAGAGTTTCCCCAATTTTAGGATTTGGAAAACTTTAAACCTGCTTTGTGAAACGGACCCCTGGTTATTTTCATTTCATTGTTTGTACCAGAGTTAAAATAATAAAAATGAATGTGTTACCTTAAAAAATGCTGAGTCATCTTTTCTTTTTTTCAGTACAATAATTTAATGTATCCTTAATAATGGACACACATCCTAATGAACACATCCTCTTGAAGCTCTAGAACGTTATCTAAGGATGAAATATGTTTTATGTTGTGAAACAATATATTTATTGCCAACCACTGAAGGGGTGGTATAGATATTCAGACTGTCATATATTGTTTATGAACACACCCTGTTTGTTAATGAAAGTGTGAATTGAGCTCAAATCTTGGTCAAACATAATTCTACCCATAGATGGAATACATGGAATAAATTCACCACAACTGCAGTTCAAAATTAGGTTTATTATCAAAAACCATTCAGCTCCAAATCAAATATTTCAGTTAAAAACTCTTGACTTAAACTAATGAAACTAAACTAGGTAATGTTTACAAACAGGAAGAGAAAAGATGGTTGAAAATCATAATCAACAAAATAATGCAGTTTAGCATGGATTTTATGTTTGAAACCCAAAGTTTATCTTGAAGAATTTGGGGTGTGATCAAATGAGCTTTTGACTAATTCAGAGCAGTTGGAATGTGTTCAGACCAATTAAACATTATTTGGCCAAAGGTTTTATTTAAATGATTATCTTGATCAGAACTCAGTAAGCTGATTCTTAGCCTTCTTTCAGTGGGGTAGCAGCATACTATTAATTATTACCAAAGAGAAAGGTTGCACTTGGAGCTACTTAGAGTAAACTTAGACCAACTTTTAACTGTCATTTTGTATACACAGTCTATACAGAACAAAATTTCAATACATACAGCTTTTCAGCAGTGGATGAGCAGCTTACAGCAAGATGAACATTTCCACTAATAAAGTGCAGCACTGATCAGGTGAAGAGCAGCAGAGACAGCGTCCTCAGTGGAGCTGTAATGGGTGGAATGTCGGGGGTAGACTGGAGATGATGTGTTCTTTTACAAGCCTTTCCAAGAACTTCATCATGATGGGAGTCAGTTTGACAATCCCACCCCATGCATGAAGCTGGTGCTGAACTGGACAGCTCCTTCAATGACAGACTGCTGCACCCTAAATGCACCAGGGAGCGTTATCACAGATCCTTCCTCCCAGCAGCTGGAAGACTTTATAACCACCACTGTTCCCAACAACCTCAATAAGTGGTTACATTCATGCTGATTTTGCACAGTTTATATCTTAGTTAAATAACATGCTGCTGTCATTTTGCACATCTCTGGTGTTGCTGCTATTTTCAAATATTCATTATTGTTAAAATGTCCATAGCTGCATATTGGTTATTTATTCTCCAGGTGCACAGTTTTATATTGTTAAAACACTTTACAGTACAGTATTTTATTTATGTTATTCTTATACACTTTTCTAAGGTCCACATGTGTGTGGCCATTTCTTCTATCTTTTTGCTGCTGTAAACACCAGAATTTCCCCATCGTAGGACAATAAAGGGATTTTCTTTTCTATTCTATTCAATTCAGTCGTTGAATGAAAAGGCTCATGCTCTGCAATGACACGTAACTGCCATCCTGTGCTGTTGACACAGGGGAGCTACAGAAAACATCAATGATCAAAAGTTAGACTATATGTAGAAAGATATAGGATGAATGTTGCAATATCTATGACTACAGTCATACAGACAAAGCATTTCAGAATTAGACATCCCCAGTTATTAATTACAGACTCATCAGGTCTAACACCCCGTTAAACAAGTTCACACCCATGAGTAGACGTAATGCATCTTGATGATATTCAAACCCCATCAGATACCGTTGCTCCTGCTTAACAGGGGGGAACGGTATCTCACACGCTGCGGGTGAACCCACTTTTGGTGTTCCCACAGCATGCTGATCAGAGCCGAGGAGATTTGAATGCTGGTCGCTTATCGAGTCATTTGACCCGGGTAGACACACATCAGTGAGCTGTTCCCACTGCCAATCAAAAAACAATTCAAACAGGTTTTCCAGCCTGTAGGATAATCCTTTCTCCACAGCTGCCCTGCCTTTACATGACGCAAATCCAAACTGAGGCTGTGTGTGTACGGCTCTGTGGGTCTGCTAGCCAAGTTACATCACTGTGGAGCTTTTGTAACAGCTTAAAAATAACAGTAAAACCAAAAAAGTCATCCAAACTAAATAAAACTATACAGATAAAGACGAAGAACAAACACACATCTGTGCAATGTCCAAACATTTATTACATCTTTATTATAATTACTTCAAATAAAGATACATTTTCAACATTTTTTGTTAGCATTTGTGAACATCCTGACCTTAGAAGCTGCTACATTACCAATCTATTTCAACAAAAGGTGAAAATAAGATAGATAGGATGTGTTAAAGTTCTGTTTCTTTAAAGGCACTTTATTTGAATGTAGTTAGCTTTATGGGCCCTGATCACATGAATGCCTTCCTTAGCTTCCTCTTAGACCATTAGTAGTGATAACAGAGGAACTTACAATGTGACATAGATACATAGAAGTTATGTTTAATATTGTACATTACTACCTAAACAGGAAACTCTTCAAATTGCTTATTTAATGTTTGTTTACTATTGAACACAGGATGCAGAGAAATTATGCATTTCTACATACACAAAAACAGAAGCTGCAGCTTTTTTACTCTTCTAATCTATTTTAGGAAAGTCTGTCCCTCCTACTGACCCTGAAGATTACCCTGATGTGATTTATTATTTTTTTTCTTTGATTTGTCTGAAGTAGCACTACCGAGCACCAAGTGGTTCCGCAAAGCTGATCTTTCATCAAAAAATGTTGAAAATGTTCCTGGAGAAACTTAGCTGGAAGACAGAGTACCAGAGAAAAGGAGCTTCTGGTCAATTATGACTAAATATGACTGGTTAGAGAACCAGCTGGGTTTTGATTCCTTCATTAATTCAGCAGCACTAGATCAGCAATGTGCTGCTATAACAACATCTTGACAATAGGGGGCAGTATACTACAATAAACCATTGTTTTGTTTTTTTTACTGCAGAGAAATCTAAAGATTCCTCCCAGTTGTTCAGATTTCACAATCCCCAAACCTGAACACTTTTTTTCTTAATTCTGACTTAAAACAGATTTGAAAAGCTACACTGGACACATCAACCTATCGTTCGGTTTAGTTTGTTTGTAACAAAAATATATTTAAAAAAAAGTTCAGATCTACTGGTGGTTGAAAGTATCTATAAAAATGATCCTTTTTATAAGCTTTTTATAAAATATTTGAGGCTAAGTGTGGTGTTTAATTAAAGCATTCATGTGTTTCTACCAATAAGTTACTGATCTTCGATGAAACAGCGCCCCCTAGAGTCCAGACTGAGAATAACATATTGCTTTGCTGTCAGCTTCCCTCTGTGAGATGTTTTCTGTTCTCTCAGTGCTTCAACCTATGGAAGCTGAGACTGTGCATGTCTCTCTGATACTTTTTCACTGTGGTTTTCTCTCCAAGCCTTTTCTTTGGGGAAAAGTGGCCTAGTGGTTAGGGCGTTGAACTTAGAATCATGAGGTTCTGCGTTAGAGCCCCCAGTCTGGGCCTCTGAGTAGGACCCTTAACCCCACACTGCCCCCAGGGTGCTGCACAATGGCAGCCCACTGATCCCCAAGGGGATGGGTTAAATGAAGAGATTAAAATTCGTTGCTCTGTACATGTGACAGTGTGATTACAATAAAAGCTGGGGAAACAAAATTCTCATTATCTAAAGATAATGAAAGCCATTTTTTCGTGATAATAAGATGATAGTTTTCTCATAAGAAAGCCATTTTCTAGTCATAGCGAGATGATTGGTGTGTGTTAAAACTGATTACATCCTTCAATGCCACAACAGCGTGGAAGAATTTATAAGTCTAAGTCATGGCAGCATCCTATATTTAACTTAAAGTTAACGAGACGTTGTTGGTTTGATGATTTGCTTCCACTTCTGATTAATAAGCAATTAGACCTGTGTCTCTGGTGACATAGCGCCGGGTGTTTTCTGAACAGCCCCGGTTTTACGCCTATAACAGGTATAAGATGCATTAACCCCCAAAATGAGTCCAGATTAAAGATTTTCATTAAAAACAGTCAGATTAGTCTCTACTGTATTCCATGCAATCCGATCATCCACCGGGACATGACAATGTCGCGGTACGGTGACTGCACAACTACGGGCCCAGCAGGCATGGATGGACTGGGAATCCAGGGCTGTTGGCCAGCCTCATTCATTACTCATTAATCATCTCGTTATCTCAAGAAATCAATACCGTATTTTCACGACCATAAGGTGCACCGTACTAAAAAGCGCAGTCTCAGTTATGTGTGCCATTACTGTATTTAACACACACATAAGGCGCACCGGATTATAGGGTGCGGGTTTTATATACAGGTATATATCCTCTACTACGTTTAAATACCTCTACTGTGTATTTAAAAATAGAGCGGGAGCAAAACTGAGTATGTTTGTGCTTTATTCATGTATTTATTACAAAGTATTAATCAAACCCATCAAAGTCATCATCCTCTGTTTCTG